AAAAAAAAAAAAAAGTCACACATAACATTACTCTTAGTATCGTTACAATCAACTCTATTTTCGCCGATTGACGTTCATCTTCAATTTATCTTCCATTCTACGCGACCTTTCACCTCTAACCAGAGATATAATTACGCGCTTCATACCCCGCCATCCTGGTCGAAGACAGATGGAATAATAAAAGTACAACAAAGTGATGCTTCTTCTACGAAGGAAACTGACCAGACGCGGCAAAAACTTATCAACTCGCGGGGCCGCGAGTGTCGGTCTCGTTCTACTGTTTGCACAAGTGCATCGCCGGTAGGTAGATAGATATATACGTTGATAATAAACGGCGATGGCCGGCGAAGGGAGCGCGTCTTTGACGTTAAAAACGGGCAACGCGTGAACCATTAGCGAGACGCTGGAGAAAATGGCGCGGAGGAAACGAGGGTCGGTCGAACCTCGAAGAAATCGCCATTATAAGACTTCCGACCACGGGAACCCGGAGGCATCGCCGGCAACAATGCGACTGAAACGCGAGCCGAAAAGATAAGAATATCAAAGCCCTAACAGACGGGACTGTTCCTCTTCTATTGTAGTCCGCCGCAACACACCTTCGAATTGCGAGATTTTCACGGCGATCGATCCCGTTTTCTTGTCTCTCGCTATCGTAATTGCATTGTCTCCCCGCTATCGGTCTCGAAGTGTTTCCAGACGGATAATTGCGCGGAATTGTGCAAGTTCCTTTTTATTCTTTCGTTCTTCCTCTTTTCGCTATTTGTTGGTGTTAAAGTTATAACGAAACGTGATGAGAACATTCGAGAGTGTTTTCCGCGAATTTTTCTCGAAAAATTGATGTCCAGTTGTACGTTTGACACAAATCAAACGATAAGAAATTTCTTGTGTCATCTACGAATAATTTATGTACGTTATGAAGCATCAATTCAAATAAAATGATATAGCACTGGAAATAATCGTTCAAACGGTATTTAACACGTTTAATTTCGTTGAGTATATCTTCCCATGTGACATTGTTCAAATTTGAAACAATCGTCAACGTGCATTGCAGGTTTGTTAAATCAAATATAATGTACAAGAGTTAAGGATACATGGTTTCTCGAAAAATAATATTCACCACCATTTTTTAAACTTTCGTAAGAAGAAGTTTATGCGAATTATTCCGAATTATGTGAATTATTGAGTGTCAACTCAGGACTGCCTTCAGAAATTTCTTCTTCCTGAATTTCTTTTTGTTCTTCTTACGTCGTTATTATTAACTTGTAAAGGGTTAATAGTTGACAAAACGGAGAACTTTGAACGAAGTTTTAATTATAAAATTAATTCCTTTATGACTACATATCCCAGAGACATTAATTTTCTCTTTTCATTGACTCGTTACGACATTAATTATTTACTTAGATACATCTAGTCAAAATATTTAAAGTTTTGTACGTTAAAGGATTAAGCGCGAGTTTTTTTTATAATTGTATTTTCATTTTTTTCCCCAGTAAGTTTAGTAGATTGAAATATACTATAGTTTTGGAGTGTTGACTCCAAATTTGTTGCTGACTTTGAATGAAAATTGTTTTTTTTATCTTTCACAAATTATGACGCTACACTTCTTTTATATTTTAATTTCTTGAGACGTTTACGTTACGATCTTTATATCTTTTTCAAGAAGCAGAAACTAATTGACTTACCAGCACGGAACGCGTCCATGGGCACGCTGGGATACGGAATACTGTAAGGGTAGCCTTCCTTTCGCAAGGTTTTCGGCTTTCTTCTAGGTCTGTATTTATAATCAGGATGTTCCTTCATGTGCTGTGCCCGTAACCTCTTCGCCTGATCGATAAAGGGTCGTTTCTCGTCCTCCGTTAAGAGTTTCCATTCAGCACCTGAAACAATGTAACGTTTCGATAGTTAGAATTGGCGAACGAACGAGTTCCAGTGTTCAAGTACTTTGAGCTTCGTTGAATGTCGATGGAAAAAATCAGCAGAAAATTACAAAAAAACGATCAAACAATCAGACGAAAAATTTCCTTTCGGAAAGTTTTACAATGGTGTTAATTTTCAAGTTCCAACATTTTCTCAGTTTTCTGGAAATTCGTTAAAGTTCGAGCATAAGAATATTCGGGGATTGATTTTCCACGAATCATCAAGCGTTGATAGCGAATAAATTTTAAATATACAACGGTGTTACATCAAAAGTACAATATGAAGTAAAACATAGATAGATCACGAAGTAAATAGAGACTAGCTTATAATTTAGAGAATATTTCGTTTGCAAGTTGAATTTTGTCAAATTAATATTCGATGCAACATTTACATTTTCGCTAATGAATAGATTAAACAAAAAAATCTGTAAGATAAATATGACGGTATTTATCATTCTTGACACACTTTCACCAACACACATTACCTTGCAAATAAGGCATTTGTAATCAATTAAGCGGTAAGTACTAAATATTCATAAACAGTTAGCAAATTTTCAGTCATTCAATTTTCATAAAATGTCGTACGCTTAATGTTGTGTTTAACACTTAGTAATTTAAATACCGATACAAAAGTGAACCAGCTTCCTAATTAATTCGCGTATTAACTCTGTCTGACCAGATTACGGCACAGTATACTGACAAATATTAATCATACCGAACCTACATAAAGGAACTTTTCGATCGTAATACTTTCTCGCGAAACTACAAGTAAATTCATTGGAGCATGAACTCGTGTGTTTCAATTTTTTACGTTGCTGCTCGAATGGTTTATAAATATCTTCTAAACTAGATCTCGACACGAAATGTCGCTCTGCCATAATGCCAAATTTTCCAAATGGTGTTGGAAAAATCGTTAAAATTTATTTTCAAACTAAGATTGCTTATAAATTATTGACAACCAAATTCAACGAATCGCAGTCATTTAGCTACTTTTAAATACTTCATACTACTATCTAAATTTTTAAATATTTAAATATTTTATTTAATTATAAATAATATTTATCAAAAATCCCTAGAAGTTTCCACGAACTAACGTCACGTAATTGGCAAAATTCACTTTCATTCTCGGGAAAACTTTCGTTCGATTGTCCATCAACTCGCTCGAGTAAAAATTTCGATTAAAAATCCTCGACTCACTGTCGCAAGGCGTGAAAACAAATTGCGTTGGCGGCGTTTGAAACGAGTGATTCTCGCGTTTGAACTGCTTTAGGAGAGAACGACACGGAAATAACAGGCAGTCGTTTGCCCGAAACAACCGATGTTTTCGCGGCGAAATGCTCGCAACAGCCACCACCCCGAGGCTTGTTGCTCTCTGTTCGCCGCTCTGGTTGTTCCTTCGGCGGTAGCGAGCTGATTGTTTCGCCGAGAATTAATTACCACTTGTTGTCGGGGTGCTGGCTGCGGCTGTGCGTAGACAAAGCGTGAAGCCCCGGCGTTCTGGCAAACGGAGGCTCGCCTCAAACGAGAAAACGACGCGCGCGAAGTCCGCGCTCCGCGGTTTCATGCCGCGAAACAAAAGGGTGCCAACCTCACGGCCACAATGGCCGCAAAGATGTTCGCCGTCTTTCCACGTCGATCTTGCGCGATGTTGCAAGTCGCAAGAAAACGGAGCAGAGTTTCGTGTGAAGCTGATTTTTTTCGGAATTGGTTCTGTTCGATGATTTCGCGACGCCTGATTTTTGACGATTCGAATGTGTCACATTGATAGTAACTGGATTGTGGATTTGTATGCGTTTCTAATTAATTCGAAAATGGAAAAATGCACAGAATACACGTAATATGCAGAAGAATATAAAATATTTAAAGGATAATAATGTACTATAATTAATAGAGAAAGCAATTTTTTTTTCAATTTAATAATGATATTTTATAAATATATGAAAATATGAATTTTCATGAAAATTAACAAAATTGGGTAATCGTTTTTTTTTTATTTACTTTTTTCTACTAGCACAGTAGAATTTATAAATTAGAATGAAAGTGTTTGAAATGAAACAATAGATGAGAGTAATGGATAAGTGTTTGCTACTGTCACGTGTACGAAAATCTCTTAAAATACAGAAGATGAAGAATGCGTTACAAATTGAGTAGATGTTACCGTACAATAAGATCATTGTAACTTTAATCAATTTCTTATTTCAACTCCTTCCTGAAGTTCTAAAATTATCTAAAAACCATTTCTAGAAACTAAAATATTCCTCAACACCAAACTCCTATAGCTTCGTAATACACCAAATTGTATTGTCACAACTTGTTCAAAGACTTTCATAGACCAAGATCTTTCAAATCATTCTCTTCAGACTCTTTTCTCAAAGAGTATCGAAATGTTATGTAATCGACAGAAGACAACGACACGAGGGACGCAAATGCCAAAGAGGGAAAAGAAGACGACGAAGAAACGGGGCCAAGGAAGGAGAGAGGCTCGGGCGAGTTCCGACAGCAATATGAAGAACGAACACGTCCCGGCCGGGTATACAACGGATCGCTCAAGAGGGATGAAAGTTCTCGATACAGAGAGGAGATACACTGGCGGAAATTCGAGGCGCACCGGAGCAGATACGGCAGCGAGAGAGGATGGGATTCACGTTGCCCGATGGATCTTTTACTCTCCTCGTTATTGTTGCTGACAGCAGGCAACGACAATGGAAAGAGTTGCTTGGCTGTGTAGCGGAGCACACGATGGAAGAAAGATAGACAGAGGGAGAGAGAATGGAGAGAGCAGGCTAAACAATACAGACACGTGGTGGTTCACAATGAACCTTCGAGGAACAGTTGCGAGAAAGAGAGAAACGGAACAGGGAATACGAGATTTTTGTCTTCCGGCACAATGTGCAGCGCTGATAACGCATTCGAGCCGAGCCCGACTGGTGTCGAGCCATTCTTAATCCTTGTTCCACAGCCCGTACCCTGAATGCGTTCAGGCAACGGGAAAGGAAATATAGTGTTTCGAAATAATAGTTCAATGGAGCACTGTTTGGCTCTATGTTCCCAGCTTATTGGGATATTGCTCGTTAACTGGGGGGTGCTACGTGATTTACATTTCAACCAATTTCTTTCTTTATAGATTGAAGATCACACAAGATGATGAGTCTAATTTTATACGTTTTCTAGTTTCCATGCTATAATCGACAAGTAGTATAATACAGATAATAGACAAGTAGTGTTTTTGAAGTATAGTTAAGAAAGTAGACATGAAATAGAAATATATTTAAAAATATCAGCTCCTTTGTGAGAAATACGTCAGAGACATTCCAAGTTTCAAAGGTCCTAGTGTGCCGTACGTGTCGATATTTCGAGAAAAACAATGTGTTATTCCGAAAGTCAATGTCTACTAAAAATCCTCGAAACATAAAGCCATTCCTTAATCCTTTTTTTCAAAGCTCTAAAAGAGAGAGAGAGAGAGAGAGAAATCACCCATTGATATTCGATCGATGCTTAAACTTAAATACGACCGACGACAAGTGCACCCTCGGGAAAGGATGGTTTCTTCCAGCGACGCTATTTACATTATAGCCTATTCCAATCGATACACGTTTTCCCAGTCTGAAAGGCAGGTGGCACGGACGAACAAGCGCGAGGGGGAGGATGGTGGGATAGGGGTGGCGAACGGACTGCGCTAGGGGGGAGGGGAGGTTGGTCGGTGTATTTGTTTAGAACAAAAGGTTCCCGGCACCAGTCGGTATTAGTAGGTAGGTATTCTCGACCAATGCTCCTTCCTCCTCTTTCCGTGCTTTCGGAGAGGGCCATGGCTACCAGAGAAACGCCGACTGGCTCTCGTCCTTCTCGTCGTAGTCGACGTCGTCGTCGTCGTCGTCGTCGTCGACGACGACGACTACGGATGAGGACCGGGCTTAAAGCACAATGGCGCCTGCTTTTCAGTCCTTTCGCTGGCGAACAATGCCGTTTATTTAACATCGTTTAAAAGTACAAAGCCTGTTAATTAATGGACGGGGTCGAAGAAGAGGGACGTGGAAGCCAAGGGAAGAGGAGCTTGGACGTGAGAGGGCGAGGAGAGGACAGCCATGGCGACGGGGAGCCATTGCTAGAGCGCGGCTTTTACCACACCAACGACTACGCGCTATTGCCCCGGCATTGCTATTTCTGAAGGTAGCTGCTATTAGTCCAAGGCACTGCCTCTCTGCTTTCTTCTACCCTCTTTTCACTCACTCTCTCTCTCTCTCTCTCTCTTTCTTCGTTTTCCTCTTTTTTCCCCTCCCTCCTCCCTTCTCTTTCAGTTTTCTTTTACTCGTTTCTTAATTGTCGGGAGGGCAAAACTAGGCTACTACCGCCACCACTATTTATCCGCCGTCCTTTCCTCTCTCCTCTAATTTCGTCCAGTGTCTTCTTTCTACTCGTTCATTTCCCGTTTCTTCCCCTTTTGCACGTTCTTTTCGATCTTTTTCTTCTTCTTTTTTTTTCTTTCCTCTTGTTTCTTCGCGAGTCTTCGTTGTTCGGGATGAAGAGAGGGGTGCTGGGCGCGCGAGCGCGAATACTATTTGTTTGACTTTTGCGTGTTCGTCGGTGAATCGACCGAAGAACAGCGGTTTTTTTCAGTTAATTAACTATCCCCTGTTGAAAGAGGCTGCTTCGTTCTTCCTGGTCGTTTCTTCGGCCAGGGTTACAATGTTTTGGAATTTTTTTTCTGTTGTAAAGGGGCAATGGTATTGTTTTATTATCGCGTTTTATCTTAGCGAACGTTTGGAAGTTTTCCCTTGGAAACGAACTATAAATGGAAAACTGGAGAATAGACTCCAGTGAATGTTTCAACGTTCGAAATAACGTATTGTGCGATTATTTAGAAGTTTGTTAAGAAGATTTCGCTTCGTGACGTTGTTTCGTTAATTCCGTATTTCAGGGGGGAAATGTAAAAAGTAATTTGCATCTTGTTTCAATTCATAACCAAAGAAGTAACCAAAGAAACCTTTACGCGAGTTGTGAATTCTTTTACCTAAGGAAACTTCAAGAAAAGCGTAACTTTTATGAAAACATCGTTAAGGGATGAAATTCTGTGTTTGAAATACTAATTTCCTTGGTAAAATTGTGAAAGAAAATTTTATTCAAAATGTACCACATTGTCTTCTTTTTTTTTCTTTATTTTTTTAAAAAAACTCGAGAACAAGAAATGCTTTAAAAGAGAAAATTCTATTTAAAGGAACAGAGTTCTTTCGTTCTTAATTTAAATGTCACGGATCCTCTGGCAAAAGACAGTAACCTCGTGAAAGAATATCGCACTAGTAGTTCCAGAGTTAAAAAACAGGGGGTGGCAAAGCGCGTTGCCAAAGCAGTTGCTGCATTGTCGATCGATCCACAGACCTATTCTACCTAGAAGTCTGTTCCCAACGATGAAACGTGGAAATTGGAAAATGTTTCCTACATTTCCTGTCTGCAGGAAGACGCGACGTCGCGCCTGGGAGAAACAAACTTATTTCACGATAAAAAAGGAGAAAATATCAAGTTGCAAGCTCCAACAATTTTGTAGAACCAAATGGTCGAGACGATGCGTCTGAAAGATTTTATATTTTGTTTTTGTATGTAATGTAAAGTTGTAACGTAAAGAATTCTGCGATTGCCAATTTTAATATACTTTATATCTGAAGACGAGCAGGTATCAATCCTTCTGATTAATCATATATTTCTGCAATGTCATTATTGTACAGTCATCCTTATAAGTCTTTGTACGTACATCGTGTGAGAAGACAGTTTTTATTTAAATAAACTATATTTTTTTAATACATTTTGATATATATAAAGCAATACCAATTTTCACGATCAGTATAAAACTCTGCTTCTAATTTTGACTGAAAACAACCATTCAACG